GCATGCATGTACAGGAAAAGACAATAAAGAAGAAAAAGCAGTAGAGGTATATTTGTCCCTGTGACAGACAAGGGGCAGCCAGAGGCAGCCAAGCACTGAGTGCCAGGCAGATGTGCACAGCTGCTCACAGCTCACACCTGTGTGTAAGAGGCACGGCAGGCCACGAGCCGTGTGCCCTGGCCTGGATGCACCAGCCCCACACCAGGTGGCCACAGCAGCAGCCCCTGATGGCCTGCACTGCAGTCAGAAGCCACAAGGAAAAGCCTTCGTGGCCGTTCATCCATTAGCACGTGATGGGAACGCAGCAGAAGGGGTTTCACATCCTGCATGTTACCACTTTTACACCTAGAGTAAATACAAATGATAGGCTTGCAATTAAACACTCCGATTTTCTTTCAGGCCCTCTGGCTTTCTAAGAAGCTTTGAGGGGGGTTCCTAGCAAAATGATAAAATGAGCTTAGAGTCCCTCCTCATGAAACATTCACACAGCAGATCATCTGGGAAAACACATCAACCAAAAGGAAAAGCTTTGCAATTAATAATACATTAGAGAAGTGAGGTGGAATCGTGTGTGAAGTGACTGACCTGCTTTAAAAACACTGCCTGGTGTCATCCCAGCTCCTCATTACAGAAGTCCCCACATAAAGATGCACTCTGCCTGCATGCAGACAACTGGCAATAAAAGGAAGGGTGAATCACAACAACCAGTGCTATTGAAGAGCTGGCTTATTTCTACTGAGGAAAAAAAAAAACAAACCAACAAACAGCAATCCCAATCAGCAGGTAAAATGCTGCACTGGGCCAAAACAAAGACCTTAATTCTCAGGTTTGGTGTACCAATGCCATGGAGACTGGTGCAAGAGCTGCTCGCACAGAGATGGTTTTGTGGCCCATGCACACGTGACTGCATACACACTTTTGCACCTGCAATCACTTACACCATTTGTGCCTGCAATTATTATATCTGCATGCATAATAAGGAGTGCATTATGCAAATAACCAGTTATTGATGTAATTGGTCATTGGCTTATGCTGCTGTTCAGTGGCAATTTGCATGTGCAGCTCTGGAACCTTCCCGAATAAATCCAGCATGCTCCTGCAATTTTGAAAATAAATATACAGCATCTACAGGACCGGGTGAAAAGAAAACCTCACAGTGTTTCAGCTCACGAACAGAAAGTGGCAGCAAAGTAGAAACCTGTTGGCACAAGATGCAAACTGCAATACCTCTTTCTCAACTTACCTCACGAATGAGCCTTCAGCTACAATCATTTCTCTTCCAAAAAATTCCAGCTGACTGTTGCTATTTTTACAGACTTATTCCATCTCACACTGGTTAGGAGCTATGACTGTTGGACCACAGGGCAGCAGATCCCCACTTGCCCGGCACCACATTCCTTTTAGGTAACAGCCCTCCTACCAAATCTTCCCACCTGACGCCACTTCTTGACAGAAAGACATATCAGAGTCTCACAGCACAGTTCAGGGTAATGGATTATGCATACACTCAGGACAGTAAGCAGCTTAATGTCTGCTTTGGAGAAGAAATGCAGTGACACACGCGACAGGTCACAGAGAGCCGCATTGTTTTGTTATTGTCCAAGGCACACCAGCGAGAGCCTTTGGAAGGCTTGAAGAGCAGCAATTGTGGTGCAAACATATATGGCAACAAGCATCACACACACACACAGCCACGCATGACAGATGGAGATGACCCCGGAGAAGTGCTGAAGAGTGAAGCTGATGTGAAGAGAGTGAAGGAAGAAGGGTATGGAGCCAGAGGGCACGGAAGGAGAGAAGATGAGAACAAGGAGGTGGTCAAGAAGGACGCTGTGCAGCCCACGTGGTGGGAAACCTCATGTTTTCCTGTGCTCTTCTCAAGGCCGTGTGAGCTGGATTGGGAGGAGCACCCAGCGCTGCCTGAGCACTGCTGGCTGGAAAGCATCTGTGGGGTTTTGCCTCCAGCAGCTCATGGGAGGTGACATCAGAGAGAAATGCCTCCCCTCAGTCCCAGCAGCACTGCAGCAGCTGCTCCTGGAGTTGTCACCACTGCACAGAGTGCCAGGCTGGGAGAACAGCCACTTCCACCTCCTCCACCACACAGAAGCATCCATTTGCAGTCTGTGGGAGCAAATTCTTTTTTCAATCCCCATCTTAGCACTATTCTCATTCCTGTTACCTTAACGTTGTGAAAACTGCCTAGAAATGCAGACATCAGATTGCAAACTTTTAGTGGTTGCTGTATTTCACATCTTCATTGTTTGCCTTATAGGTTTGAGGTTCATCACATTTATGCCCTTCAAGTTTTCCTATGCAATCAGAAGCAATCAAACTTTTCTATAAAACAAAGCCAACATTTTTTCAGTACAGCATCATGTTGATATGCTTGAATTTTAAGAAACCTACAAGCTGCCAGTCATTATCCCTACAGACTTATGCATTTTTGCAGGTGATGCTGGTCCCAGCAGGGAGCCGCACCAAGACAGGGCTGCTGCATCCATTCCTGCTTGCTTGGCAGTTCCAACATGCAAGCTGTGGTGTAAAAGTTTATTTGTGAGTGTTTCACAAGTTCCTCATGGATCTTGGCAGAGAGCGGGGCCTGTTGGGTGTGTAATTTGAAACAGCAGAAGCCTGGAACACAGACAGCATCGCCTGCAATGACAGACAAGTGCTGAGCTGCTTAGGAAAATCAAACATGGAAAACACTTGTCCTCTGCTACAAACCTGCAGCTCTCCTCTAGCGGTGTGAACACAGAGCAGATCACGAGCACCCTGAATGCCCAGACAAGCCTCACTGTTGGTGACACTGCCAACACACGTGAAACACTCACACATGTTAAGAGACCGCGAGGAACAGGGCAGCACTGAGGCCATGAGGATTCAAAAGTGAATTCTGTAAAAAGGTGCATGAGGATGAGATGCAGCTAATGCTGTGTGAAAGGATGGAGCAACTGCATGCAGAGAGGGAAAATAAATTCCCTGCCCTGAAACAGAAAAGAACCAAAGCCGTCCACAGCACAGAGGAAGCATCAGCTGTGACATTACCTCTACATCAGTAATAAATGAGAGATGGAACAGCAACATCCGGACTGATGGGAGCACAGCCATTGTGGAAGGCAGCATAGCTCTTCGGATGGCATTTATGAGTTCCTTCTGAAAATTCAATTTCCTTGAATATGAAAAACTTCACTTTAAATGTTATCTGAATGACCTTTTGGACTTTCAGGGAAAAAAAAAAAAACAAGAAACTACTGCCTCAAGACTAAATCCCAGCCATCAACCAATGTTACACGTTTGACTTCCTGTTACCTCATTTAAGCCTTTCTCACCATAAATCACATGGCTATTTTGGGGTCATTTCCTGGAAAGGCATCACATCCCAGCAGCACGTCAGGAGAGGCACTGAGGGCAGCATGCCACAAACACCACTATAGGACTGCACAGCCCTCACATAAGGATGGAGGGGGAAAAAAAATCATCCCAGCTAATGGCCACCTACTTGCTTAGTTGGGGTTTTTGTCAATAAAAGCATTAAGGCTGCTGAGGTGTGCAGAACTCCCATTATCTTATGTTAATAAAGTGCACGAGGAAGGAGGCAATACAGCACCCCTTCCCCACAGCCTTCACACTGGCTGGTTAAATGCACAATAAAAAGAAATGGGAAATAATGATTTAAGGGTACAAAGAACAGCTGACATGTACAGTGCTGCTATGGTGCCAGCCGGCCTCTGGCATCGAGCCCCAGGAACTCAGAGAATTGTTCTCCTCTATCCTGCCACAGCCAAGGGAAAAATACAAGTCAGTAGTTCCAAACTGGGATAACCGAAAAGAGACAAACCAGAAATTGGGAGTGAATGGGAACTGACCATACCCAGCTCCCAATGGAAATGGACAGCTTAAACCCTCAACTTTCAGGCTCTTTGGGTTGACGTGGCATCCTATTTTCTCCAAGCTTATACACCAGTCTCTTATTTACGCAGCCATAGGCACGCAGTGTAGTTTCAGTGAGCAGCACCACTTTACTCACCAGCAGGACGATCTCCTCCATCTCCAATCACCTCAATTGGAAACGGACTCGGGTGCAACTGCAGCCCCTGCAAACAACTGCTCCATAGATGAAAGCTCCCTTCCCTTTAGAGGGCAGAAACCAAACGCAGCCTTTATCGGCAGCGCTTTACAGCACGCACCACTTGGGCTCTGCGCCTTTGTCCTTCGCATCGCTTGTGCTGAAGCTCATAAAGCACCTGAAAGCCGGAGTCACGCGGCAGGTGGGAGCCGGCCGGCAGCCCTGCTGGCAGCACGCACCGCCCGAGGGCACAGCGCTGCGGAACGGCAGGATCCCTTCCCTCACAACGTGCCGGCAGCTTCCCGAACGCACAAATAACTGCCAGCAGCACCGGGAAGAGGAACCCGCGCCTCGCACCCTCCTGTCAGCAGCTGTTGAGTCTGAAGCCTAATGAGGAGTTAACGAGCAGCACGTGGTCCCGCACCACTACGTGCGCCCAGGGCCGGGGGCAGGAGCAGCTCCCAGGCACCGCGCCGTGACTGCGGGCCACGCTGAGCAGAGCCCGGCTCTACCCTCGCACCTCCCGCGGGTGGCCGTGGATGGGATCCCTCTCCTCACAGACGAGCCGCGCGATTGCAGCGTCTCAGGGGCGCAAGGTGCGTACAAGGAGAGCCTACAGGTGCGCGCAAGGACGTCCGAAAGCTTCTCACGCTCCCAGCGCGCCGGGGGGCGGGGCTACGTGGGGAAGAGCGAGGCGAGCGGGCGTGGCTTCTTATCGCCCCGCCCCGCGCAGATGGTGCCGCCGCGGCGGGGGAGCCAATCAGAGCGCAGCCCGTCAGCTGACCGCCAGCGCCTACCCAGGTGCGCGCCGGCGGCGGCACAGAGCGAGCGAGCGAACGAGCGGGCGGGTGGCGGCGCGGCTCTGCGCTCCTCCCTTCGGTCCCTCCGCCTTCTCTCCGCCGCGGATGTCGGCGCCGCCGCTGCGTGCGGGAGAGGAGCGGCCGCGCGGACAGCGCCCCCTCGGGCGCCGGTAAGTGCCGCTGGGAGGGGCGGGGGGCACGGTGGGGATCGCCGCGGGGGTGCCCGGTGAGGGGGGAAAGTTTGCCGCCCGCAGTTGGGCACAGCGGCCCTGCCGTGGCGTACGGCCGTTATTATTTTCCTGTCTGGGGTGCGCGCCCCGGGCTGAAGTTTGCGGCGCGCGTCCGCGCCCCCTCTGATTTGCATGCGAATGGCAGCGCGTCCCGGCAGCTGTCTGGCCTCGTGCATTCACGCGGAGCGATGGGAGCGGACGAGGAGCCCGCGATGGAACAATGGAGCGCGGGATAAAGGCGGTGTGCGCGGGGCCGCCTCCGGTCCGAGGCCGGGTTCCTCCGGCGTCGCGCGCTCCTCGCCGTGCCGATCGGTGCCGGTGTGGGGGGTTTCCGCCCCTTTTATCGGCCCCCCGCTGCCCGCTCGTTCCGGCGCACGCCGCTCGCGGGGCTGAAAATCGTGCGTAGCCGTGCCGCGCTGCCGCAGGGCTGCGGGTCGGGCGCGGTGTTGCGGGGAGAGCGCGGCGGGTGGCCCCGGGCTGGTGCCGCTTCGGGGAGCGCTTCCCGCTGGGTAACGGGGGAAATCCGCTCCGGAATCCGCCCCAAATAGCGCGGGAGCCGTTGTGGGTTTGTCCCGAAGGAGCTCCGTGGTTCCCGTTAGAATCTCTCGGACGAAACTGCTCTGTGAACCCCTCGGTTCTTCCCTCGCAGACTTAAAGCTGCGCTGTAAACAAAGCCGCATCTCGGAACGAGGCAATAAACTTTTCATTGGGAAGGATTGACGTACACACCGGGTGATCTTGCAGATGCTTCGAATGTCCGAAGCTGAACGTCGGCCCCCATTAGGTGTCTGAAGGGCTGGGTTGTGGTGCGCAGTTATCGGAGTGAAACTTCAAGTAGCCCTTGCAGAAACACCCAGTGCAGTAGGCAGTTGGGACTTCAAAAGGTCAGCTGGCGGGATGCTATAAAGTATCTTCCATTTAGCTAGAACAGACCTGAAGAATATTGCTGACTGTTGAAAGTAGTAGGGTTTTGTATCAGGTTGTGTAGATTACAAAAGGATAAGGGCATTGTAACGTCAACTGTGAAAAAACGTTGTCGCCTCTTTTGTTTGTTAGTAATTAATGTAAGTCCACGCTGAGAGCATCCCAACAGGCTGCAACGAGAAACTTCTGCTCCCGTTGGTTTAACAGGGCTGGAACGCAGCTGAAAGCGAGGAAGCTCCGCTTTACAAACACACACAGACGCATATCAGTCCTCATCACACAGAAAATGCAGTCCTTTACGTGAGCACTCAGGAAGGCTCACACCATCACCGCGCGGAGCGTGGAGCAGTGCTGGCTGCCTGCAGTGGCAGCCCCGATGCAGCAGCCTTTGTTCGAGGTGCTACAGCAGCGTGGCACTGCAGCAGCCAGGGAAACTTTTGCTGAGCAGTGTGTGCTGTTCTGCTGCTGGCAGCCCCCAGCTGCTGCTTGGGGATCCGAGGGGCACTCAGACTGCCTTGCATCGCAGCCCTGCCTGTACTGTAGGTCAGTAGTTGGCTGAAAAGGCTGTTGATTTGTATTGTTGAGTTTGTTAGGTTGTCTTTCTTATTGTTGATTGTAGTGGTGGGGATGATACAAGGTCAGAGTTCATATTTTACAACTTAAAAACAAAAACAGTATTTGTTCTGAAGCTTTTATTTCTGTTAGTGTTATCAATGAGTAAAACAACAACAACAAAAAGAAGTTGTTTTTGTTGTCTCACTTTGGCAGCCAGGTTCCAGTTCTGAGCTAATTTCTGCCTGCTTGGGAACTGCTGCTTTCCCAGGTGGGCTTTGGGCCGGGCCAGACTGAGGGCAGGCAGCAAAAAAAGACCACACCAAGGGAAAAAGTGAAGTGAGATTTACAGAAGGGCACTGCCTGCTCACAACACTTCTACTTTTAAATCGGCAAGTAGGAGGATGGTGAAGATGTTTACTGAAGAGCCAAACACTTTGAGAAGCAAAATCACTCCCTTTTGCTGTGGACTTCATCTCTGCAGAGATGGCCGTTCTTTGAAGCCCTGATTAATATAAATGAGTTGTAATTTTCTGGCCAAGCCATCCTAGTTCACATATATTATTCCATTGGCAGACATGTGGTCTCCACAGCTGTCCCCTCATTTGTGTATGAAATGGAAACACTGGTGGCATTTGTAGGTTACCATAGCTACATGAACAATACACGTGTGATACTTCATCCTCCCAAGCTCAAGATTTTTTTTTTTTTTTTTTCTGGCAGACATTTTGTAGACAGAGAACTGCAGAAAATCCATGCAAACTTTTGGGCAGCACATAAATCCATTGAGCTGCTGTCTGTTTATACAGTGGTAATTTGCAGTGAGCCCAGAGCCGCGCTCACATCTTCATGCGGTGAGGAGCCCCGTCCTGCAGGATGCACAGAGCTCCCACAGCAAATCCTAAATCCCGAGCTCCAGTTAAGTAATTAGCAGGATCGGGCCTTAAATGCTGTGGTAAATACAAAATACTTTTTTTTTTTTTTTTTTTTTCCTAAAACAACCCAGAACCTCATTTCTGGTTGCACAGCCTTACCTTCTTCCAGCTGTGCTGGAGGCGGCGATGCCAGCATGGGGCACAGGGAGCGAGGCTGGGTGCCACCACCATCATGTGCACCTGCACAGATCCACAGCAGTTCACTTCAGGAACGAAGTGCTCTCGTGCTCATCTGCAGCTCTACCCTTGGCGTGTGCCTTGCTGTGAGAAGATGGGCTCACGTTTTTGATTCCTACCTGGCTTAGAGCTGCTTTTGTCAGTGCACGGTAATCCTGCTTTCCTAAACCAGAGTGCCTGGATTCTGAAAAGGGAAATCAGAGGGCTACTGTGCTAAGAAACAGCCTACTGAGCATGCATGTGATGAGCCTGCTTTTCTAGATTCTTTTCCTGCAGCTGATTGATTAATCCTCCACTAATTGGCTTCATGAGGCCAGTAACAGGGCGTGCCTCCATGCCATTCTGAGGGGTACCTGGACTGAGGTACTTCAAGTTACCTTCTCTTATTGCTTCCTGAAGCCTTGCAACTTTATTTGAATTTTGTTTTGCAATTTAGACGTCATCTTTCATTTTTGTGTGTGGCACTGAAGGAAAATACTGGATTGGCCTATTTTGAGTTGGCCTAATTCTCTTCCTCATGAAGAAAGCAGAAGTCTTTGGCATCAATGGGAAGAGAATTAGTGTCTGCTCTTCAATTCCACTATAAAACATTGAATGCTTTCACAACTTCATCTTCTAAACTGTAAGATTTTAATTTGATTGGTGGTACAAGCTAGCATCTTCTTGACCTTCCAGCTGACCGAATTGCCAATAGAATGGGAACGGATTTTTACTTGGAGCACAATTTCTAAAGATCAAGCATACAAAAGGGAGCAGATACCTGTTTGTTGTGTTTTTATAAATATATATACTTAAAGAAAGATAAGGGAAAAGCAGTTGTAAATAAGTCCTGAAACACTTAACAGGATGCTGTATTGAGAATGCACAGACGTTATAAAAGTGCCACAGAGAAACAGCTCTTTCCTACTTTATTTGGTACGATGCTCTTGCTGCATAACTCTCCCCCGAAGTGCTGACCTCTGGTCCTTGGTGGTAACGCAGGGCAGTATTTTCCTCGGCCACTTCACAAACTGAAGTGGTCTGTTTAACACTGTAGGCAAGATAGATGACTTACAGGTTTTGTTTAGGAATTCTAGGGATTGTCAGCATCTCATTTCCAGGTATTTAATTTAAGCAGCAGCCGTGAACGTAGCATTCATGCATCAGTCAGCTTTGATTAGAGCACAAATCTGACCTTTTTGAAGCTGAGCCTCCCCCGGAGGTCTGTGCCTGTTGTGCCCCTTTGGCCTCGTGCAGGTATGGAGTCTTACCTTCCAGAAACACCTGCCTTTTCCACCCAGCACCAAGGCCTTTGTTCACTACCTCCCAAACCCGGGGGACCTCCCCTGCTGATGATGTGGTTAATGCAGACCTCCACCTCAGAAGCCTGCAGCTTTGTCTCTTGGTGGGATGTTTCACCAGAGGTTATCCTGCCAGAGTCAAGTTTTAAAGATGACACTGGTAGATGGGGGAAGGCATCCATGGGGGAAGGCATAGGGATACTTCAGTTCAAGGGAAATGGTCCTTTGCCTTTTCCTCTTTTTACTGGAACCTGGTTCATCGTATTCTCATCATTGATTCTTTTTGTATTTCATTCACAACTACTTCTGTGCAGTCAACGTAACTTGATGGTCATTAAGCAAAATGCAGTCTTTGCAGTTCACTTACAATTGGATTCATATTAAGCTCTGTGTGACTCACGACCAGAGCACCACAACTAGAGGGGCACAGCAGACTTGTGCTTTCAGCACATCCACTGTGATGGCAGCAGGGTTCTCCTGTCTGCCTGGACCATGTGCTCTAGGGCTCTGTGATTTTCATGGGTCGACCCACAACATCAAGAATCAAAGATTAAGTAACTACTAATGAACACACAGATGTTATTTGGGACAATTCCTAAGTTAGTCCAAAATTTGGTAGACTGACTTTTATATATGCATATGCACACACACATATATGTAAAGTATCAGTCACAGCTTGAATTACCTTTGTTTGTGATTTGGAAATGTTTGTCCTTGTTACAATTAATCCTCCACATCCTGTTTCTCTCATACATCATTTCATTTATTCTATTAAGCGAGTCCAAAAATGCCCAGTAAATGCATACCTTGCTAATGTGCTGCATATAATTACTGGGATGCAGATGAGCTACTGATTGGCCTTGCTCAATTTTTAAATTACAAACGATCTGTCGCTCTTAACAGAAACAGTAAATATTGACAGAGATCCACTGCTCACAATAGGCACTGCACTGAAGTGTAGATGTGTTACAAAGCTAACTTATTTGACCCATAGGTGAACAAGAGCTAAGCTGCAAGAGCAGGTCTCTACAGGCAGCTCACATCAGCACCAGGCACTGAGCAAAAGCAGACGGATGTTCTAAGTTAGCTGGCGAGTGAGACAAGTCTAGTACAGACAGATTAAACGTGACCGTGCCTGGATAAATCACCTTAATTAGGTAAAGATTTATCTGTAGAGTTTTGTTAACTTAAAATAACTTGTTTTCTGCCACATGCAGCACTTCTGCAAGCACTTTGAAACGAACCCATCTGTGGAGGAGCTGCTGAGTTGGCAATGACAAGACTAAGAACTGGAGCTAACGGAACGATTCGTAGGTCTATTCTTAAACATATACCTATTTTTTCTACATACATACATATATATATATATCCACGTCCTGAACTTCTCTGTCTCCTTCTCTGGAGATGTTCAAGACCTGCCTGGATGCCGACCTGTGCGACCTGCTGTAGGGAACCTGCTTTGGCAGGGGGTTGGACTCGATGAGCTCTGGAGGTCCCTTCCAACCCCTACAATTATGTGATTCTCAAAGCAAGATTGGAAAATATAGAACAAAGCTTCCATATAGAACCAAGACTCAAGATTTAGTGGCGCTTCAGACAAAAAGAAATGGGTGAATATAGGCTATTAACGTTCTCTCCGTTCTCAGGTGATGTGGTAGATGACCTGCTCTGCATTTCAAGCAAAACTTGCTATGTCGGTTTTGGAGTGAAATGATAGAACACACGCGCTCCATACAATGTTTATTTTCTCATTACAGGGTGGCTGATGTTATCGGTGGTGAATAGAAGCAGAAGGCTCTCAGACAAATGGGAACTTCGTGTAGAAACCCATTCAAAAGCCCAGAAAACTTGCCAGGAGTGGCAGGGGAGGGTCGTTTAATACAGCCATCTGACTAGGGAGAAAATAACTTTTTTCATGGATGGGAACAAAACCTTTCTTCAGACGACTACCAAAAACAAATCTATGGCCATTTAATGGAATTACTTCTATCCCATCTCAGCTTGGCTGAGTTCCAGATCTTTGCCTCCGTGCTAACAGCCTTTCTATTAGATCTGTCAGTGCCTCCCATGATAAATCTATTTATGTTGTTATTGTTAGTCTTGAGTGAACAATAAGGGGTCTCTATCAGGCGAGTGGATATATGGTTTTATTAACATTCACATGTAAATATAGCTCAGAAATAGAAAATTTGATCTTGCAAGCGTATAACTCCAGGAAAAAAATCAATAAAGGTCTATTTTATTCTAGCAGCTGGTGTCTGTGTACGCACGCTACACATATAATTGGAGTAGATATAGATGTAGCTAATAATAAAGTATAGATTCATACTTAATCACCCATAATTGAAAACTACAGACGTAGTACAGCCACAGGAAACAATTGCTGAAGTAGCAACAGGGATCAACAGGAAAAAAGCACCTCTTTTCTTCTTGCCTGAAGATAAAGGTGGAGCTATGTATGATTTGCTCATTCCACGTACACGTGTGCACACCTACATAAGTGTTATTATTAAGTGTTGCTAATGTCCTAAAGCCAGCACCACTGTCCTTTTCATAACACGTACGTAAATAAAAGCTGAAATGAGTGAGTATCTACTGGCTACCATTTCAGGAAAAGATTGTCTGGCATCTTTTACTGTAGTAACAACTACTTACGTGCTGGGGTCTTTCCCGACCATGGGGATCCTCGGTGACTCATTAACTGGAGTTTGATCTAGAACTGCGTAGGAAGCAAAGGAATCGCATTGCCAGAAAGCCAGCCTGCAAGGAGAGACGACGGCGATTTTTCTCTTGCACTCTGAAAGTTCTGTGCAGTTCTGGCATCCATATTTCTCCTTATTGAAAATATTTCTTATGCGTTCCACATTTTAGCATTTGTAAAACATCCACTAGCAAAGCTGTCTTGCTTCTTGGAGCAGGCAAAAAAGAAAACAAACCAGAAATTTAATCCAAAAACTAGCCTAGGCTTTTAAATCCCCCCATTCTTCTTCTAGAGCTATTTCCTTTTTTAAAATTCCCATTAATATTTTATTATTTTTCTTAATTTGATTTGGACCCTCCCGTCTCTGCTTCCTATTGCCAGAGTCATTCTAGTATGAAATGCAGGAAGCACATACCCCCATGAGTAACAAGTTCTTCAGATCCTTTCATTTGGTACAGAGATTTGGAATGTGCCAAGATTGAATTCTGCCTGTTCTTTAATTAGAAGATGCAGTAACATCTCTGTAATATTTGTCTCCCTTCATGCTTTAGCCAGCAAATACACTAAATGCAAAAAATAGTTGGAACAGGTCTCCCAAAATTAGCTATGCTGTGTAAATCTTTGACGCTCTACGAGCTAAAACCAATTAGGTTTAAATTCTCCCTTGCATTTAAAATATACAGGAGGATATGAATGCACGACAGCCGTACAGCTGGAAATGAATGAATTTCCGTGGTTCGTCCTTCATCAACCACGGTACCTTGGATGTGCTGGAAAGCAAAACATGCAGGTTAGCAGGGGGATGTGCCATCTTTGTGCAGCTGCCCCAGAGCTCCGCAGGGCGCAGGTGAGGCCGGGCTGGGGCACGCTGCTCTGCCTGCTCCACGAACTTGTCCTGCCTTCCAGTGCAGAAGAGCTACAAGGAGATGAAATTGGCTTTTAAGCCAGGATAGAAATGATTTGGTTGGTTGTCATGAAAGCCAATTTCTTCAAATAATTTTATCTGGTAATTACATAGAATGAGGATAATAATAAGGCGCATGATTCTTCTCCAGTGAATGAAATAAAAGCTTTACTACTGCCTTCGTACTGAACAGGACCAGACCCTGTGTAGGAGGAGATGAAAACTACAGTCATGAGCACAAAAGAACAGCCCATATTTTCTCAAGATTAATCTATTTTCTCATGAAAACAAACATTTTCTTATGAAAATAAACATGCTAAGAAAATAAGTTGAGTTTCTCGTGTAAGAATATTACTACTGAACAAACATGTCTTGCCTTTCAGGTTTTCAAGGCTTTTAAATGCTTTTATGAATTTTTCCTTCCTAAAGAACAAACGGACTATGTAATTTGACAGCCCACTGTTTGAAAGCACTTATTATTCCTGATGTTTCTAATATGACTTGTTAATGGTAATTTGCAAGAGATTTTCAAACACATGACAAGCAGGGTTGCAATTCGAAGGTTGATTTGATGGGCCATCCATGTACAGTAACTGTACTGTGCTAGATATCCCTCTGTACTAAAGATCAGTAAATAAATGGAAAGGATTTTCCTCTCTCCCACAAAATTACTTCAATATTTTAGTGAAGAACACTGCATCAGACACAAGCTTTACGAATAGGCCCACAATAAATTGCAATTTTTAAACGTCAGATGTCATATGCTGTTTGTGAAGTGCAAGAATTATGAAGAGGATGCTCTCTGCATTTCTTCCATGGAGATAAGGCTAGTATTTTTCAAAAGAGTACAGATAAAACATGCTGAGGTTGTCTTCTGAAACACAGCAAATCGCCTTCTCATCACAGCTTTCCCTGCTTCCCTGGAGCTTTCCCTAAAATTAAACACTGACTTTATTTTGGAACGTATGAGCAGACAAAAAGATACAGTTTAAAAAGCAACGCATTACTTGTATGGAAAAAAAAAACAAACCCCAAACTGTAAATATCACAAATCCCTGAGAACACGTTTTGAAGCTTTTGTTCCTTTGTTACATATTCTGTAAGTCCTTTCTTCTGTCTTTGCTTTTAACAACAAACTCCCGTTTTCAGATTCTGGTGTGCTTTTTCAAGTGACTTGCACCATTCGAGCTTGACCTTTCTGTATTTTACCCATGCAGTCCCGTCAGTATCTTATTTCCTGATGACATCCACAACTTCAAAAACTTCCATAGAAAAGGCTTCTTTTATATTTCCTCAGTATTTCTCTGAACAGGATTGCCCTTCTAAATGTGACCCTTGGGGGAAACGAGCTCTCCATGTAGGTCAGTTGCACCTCTGGGTCCAGGAGCAGGCTTTCTCTAGGAGGTACACAAGGTCACTGCGACTCTCGCCTGCAGTCAGACCCAATGATGGGAACACAACACTTCAGAGAAGGTTTTGTGCTGTGCTTACTTCCCTAGCAGGTTACTGGCTGCACACACACGTGCCTGTGGCCGTACACGAATGTCTCCCTTGCGTCGCGCCATTGAAGGTTATTGTTGAAGTGCAGCGCAGCGCCAATAAGCCAGCTCTCCTCCACACAAAATGCACGGATATGGAACTGCAAACACCTCAGCTCAACATCCTTTTCTTAAAATTGCCCATGTCCCAACCTGGCTAGGGCCAGCTGTTCTCACAGAGGGCTCGAGGTGCACCTGCCTGTCGCAGCATCCCTGCCCCCATGGGTGCCTCCTGCCCCTGACTCAGCAATGCTTTGTACGCGCTCTGCCCCGTGCTCAGCTCTCTCAATCCCCGTGCTTTAGCTGAAAGCTCTCCAGATCATTCAGATGGGCGTCACTGTGTGACAGATGTGCCCACGTGCTGCCACAACTTGGCTGCGTGGCCCAGGCCTTCCCCACAGCCCGCAGTGCCGCCGCTGAGCTTCCCTGGTGCTGCAGGGAGCTCCGACAAGAGTCGTTTCACAAACGATGATGATGGGAAATAAGCAAGCTGCACAAGTCATTAACAGAACATTAGCACAACAGACAATTTTCCAAAAGACTAGCTGCACTGCTTAGGCTTGCTGGATGAAAATGGCACTGTGGAGAAATGGGGAGGTGCTGCAGATCAGCGTGTGCTTCTGGCTCACAGCGAGCACAAAATAAATTGCTTGTCTTAGCCTGAGGTAATTTTCTCTATGTATCTGATCCCTCAGACTCCTACCTAGGCGTGTTTAGCATATATGGCTGCCAACCAAAATCTGCGCTGATGCTACTTGCAATAGAAAGGGAATTTTTCAAGAATGAACTACTTAACTGTGGAGAGGGTGATGCTTTCTATTCTGCTGGAACAGAAGAATAGCTGTTTCTAAACAGGTACCCAAATAGCCCTGTGCAAACTATCTTGTTTCTTTTTTCAGCAGTTGTTAACAGTGACCATTAATACAACTGCCACTGAAGCGACAATGCTTCATCTTCCTTTGGCCAAGAAAACACATTCAGTGTCTTTTTGCTTGGATCACCCCAACAACCGAACAATCAACAGCTCCCCTCTGGGGCAGGAGCACTGCAATGAAGGCCCTCCTGCCCCAGAACCAGATGCCACCCCCTTCTTCCCTACCATTATCTTCCCTTGGTAAAACAAATACTCTAAGTTAAGCAGTTTTCACAACCCAGACAGGAAGGGATCCTCCTCCTTGCATTACTGGGAGGGAAGAAGCAAGAATGATGATCACATTTTCAGTCTGCAAGAAATATGAGCACGCTGATAGCCCAGACATCAGCTGTGGATTTGCTTACTGACAGAAATGTGGTTTCTTAATGCTCTGGGAATTGAGAGGTGCTATGGAAAATGTATTTATTTAGCCCCTAGCGAAATAATTCCCTCTATGCATCTCCCATAAAATTAAGCATTATTTCTGTTGATAGCAAGTTCTCACCTGTAATGACTATTGTAGAGGTTTGGTGCACTAAAAAATGAATTTCATAAACAGAAAGGAAGGCAGAGAATGCTAAAAGCTGATGTCTAAAGCACAGAGTCAACGCTGAGCCTCGCCAGGACAGCTTGCACTGCACTTCCCAGGCCTGGCAGTTTCCCCACACGATATTTTTTTAAACATATATAGTTTCTAATACGCCCTCAAAACAACCTCCACCAATCACATGGCCCCCATTAAGCATCAGCTTCAGAAAAAAGTGATTTCATCTGCCCCTTTTCTGGAGCAAGCGTTAACTGCGTGGCTTTCCAAAGCTGAAATCTTTTGAACCAGCCCCCTGAATTCTCACTGGCTCCTACTGCATTCAGCTACTATGGAGGAACTGTGTTTGTTTCGAACAAACCAACCCCAAACACAGTGACTCGGCACAGAAGGATTCTCACTGGGCAAAAACACGGAGGTTATCAGCAAATAACGAGACTCAAATAACGACACTCAGATGCTTCTTCATTCCGCCTCACTGAGTTCACAGGGAGCTGGGATGATTCCCTCTTTCCCAGGACCCACGCCTGGTTTATCTGCTTGGCTCTGCAGTTTTTCATCAACGGTCATTTTGAACCATGTAGTGTCAGAGAGTTCGTTCTCAAAGCTTGGGTGTCCTTCAGCTGACCCACCAACACATCCACCACAGCACACGTAAAGCACAGAACAAAACAGCCATTACTGTTTAGTTAATACCATAGCACACTTTTTCCACTGATAACTGCCACATTTTTAGTTTTTACTACAGCAATGGATGTGGTCTTACAGCATAAGCAGCAGGTAATGCAAAAGTCCATGACTTGGCCTTTCCCTGTGCTGTGGCCTCTGGATGTCATTCACAAAGCACAGCGTTAGACTGGTAGGCATGTGGAGCTGATCAGAACCTACGTTACAATGGATTTTCACTACTGGATTCATCCATGCTTCCCTGGGCTGGGGGAGATTGGAGACAATAATGTGAGGTCATTTCCAAAGAACATTTTCCAGTTGAAGAGAACTAAATCCATTTGCAGTAGCAAATAACTAGAGAAGAGGAAGTGTCACTGCTAACTTGTAAAATCATATTCCTACAGTGATCAAAAACGCCAGAAGTCGATTCAATTAATCCAGAAATACCTTCTTAGCAAGGAGGAACAACAAATGCAATGTGTACGATGCTATAAATATTTGACAAAGAAATGACTGAATTATTATTTTTTTTTAATACTCTGGACGTGCTCCCCCACATTCTAATAGAAGCTTTGAAGTCTTTTTCAGGCAGTTTCATTTTTAAAACATTACATGATTCGTATAACTACATCAGAGTTAAATCAGTGCTAACATACCAGTAGGGACTGCAGCTTTCTGAGGCACGGACATCCTTCTGTACATCCACCTAGAAACAAGTTGCAGGACAGGCTTTGAAGGAGTGGAGCAGATTTTCCTCTTGCAGAGCTCTGTGGTTTGGTGCACGTTGCTGCCTGGTACTGCTGCTTTTTTGCCTCACTCCAAGCCAGTACTGCAAAGCTGGAAGAGAAATGTCTATATTGCAAGGGAACAGACCACACAGAACTGCAGCTTGAGGCTTCTTAAGTAAAACTGTGAGATCGTTATTGAATTAGATCATGAATTATTACATGGCAAATACTACAAATGCTGGAAAATCCGGAATTAATTAAGCTTCTGACATCATCAGTATTGCTAGAACTCTTATTTGCATCAGCTACAAATGGACTGTAACTGAGAGAAGCTTCTATAAAAGCCAGAATAACTCAGTTTATGTCACCTTCCTCATCCCTCTATAGTAGTGTATATTCTTACAACTACAGTGCCATCATTAGGATTTTTTTCTAATGCAGTCAGTCTTCAGTTCTTCCATCAGTTCAGAGTTGTTTGAGAAGGAATGTTTGTTCTGCATTTGGTTTTTCCCCCTCACAGTCTTCTCATCTCTAATTGAAATCTTTGCTACCAGACAGAAAATCTAACTCAGCAGGGTCAGATGCTTTCTGGCCAATGTTCCTGGTTCTCTTCATCCAAAATACAACCACAGAACAAATAACAGCGCACCAAAATAAAAATGCCCTTTGGTTTGCACTGCTTATCATCATCTGAAATAAGTTACTTAATATGCTGACCAGATTTTGCAATAATTATGTATTATGGATGTCATTCCTGTCACCACTGTCTAGATGACGATTTTTAAAGTTGTATTTAGTTCTTCTATTTTATATAGAAATATTTTTGTGGGCTTTGGTTGAGGCTTCACTAAATTCTAATGAAAAACAAAACAAAGCAGCTTTTTCCTAATTTCTTCTACTACAGTTCATTGGTGCTTCTTAGTCTTTTTCAAGCACAACTCGAGGGTTTTCAGACGATTCATCTTTTTTTGTCGTTCACATAATTCACTGCAATCCCTATCGCACGAGGTGCAGCATCACCTCACGTTTTGAGAGGCCTGATGGACACCATCAGGCTTCCTTTCAACACGTGCCTTATGAGAACTTCAGTGTCCAAACACGTGAATCCTGCAGTTTACTCAGTGATGGGAATCAGGGTGAACATTGCAGGTGACACACAGCGCAGTGCAAACAGCTGAAAGGAGGGCAGTGCAGGCATCTAATCATATTTGGTGTTATTGTTTGGCGCTTAGCTGGATCAAATCTAAACTATTATCTGGAACTGATTTGATTAACTTGGATGAATTTTGTCAAAGTTCTTACGCATTTTGTTTGGAACTTAGGAAGCCACATGTTTCTAAGCCATAATTCTCTACAGCCAAAGCACAAGTCATTGGAGTAACACTCTCAGCCTGAATTCTACTTGGGATCGTGTGTGTTCTGAGCGCCCATTTGGTATCTGCCTGTACTCAAAAGCACGTCCTGGGCCTTCAACACTTCCTAAGCCATTCAAACCGATATTGAATAATAAAAATAAGAGATCTGGAAGTTTTCTTCTCAGACAATGGCATATATTTTTGTAGTCACTCAAGAACGATCTCATGCAAATCTGAAATAGAGGAGTGTTCCAAACTATATATACCTTACTGTACCAAGTATGAATTTTCTTAAGAGATCTGAATATTAAACTGCTTGCAGCTGTCATCACAGGTCCTTTTCCTTAAAGGACAAAGAAAGAATATACAAACTGTGTATGACACATGAGCATAACATTTCCTTATCTGTTTTATCTTCAGGCACGGATTTGTAGAAGATCCTGGAACACAGAGGAGCAGCTGAGAGCCTTCAGACCATTTATTGTCTTCTCTTACAAAATCAACTTTCATCTTCTGGATGTCCAAGCCTTTCACACCAAATTTTAAGCTTTACATTTCCTGCCTGACAACAAATTACACTCTCGGTCTGTTGTTATTTTAAGGGGGAGCTGAATTCACTAGCTGACCAGCATGGCTAAGATTAGATTAGTTTTAACTGTTTGCCAGGTGGTGCTAGAATTGCTAACGAATTCATTAACTGAGTCTTCCGTACAGAGTAATGAATGTCCCCAGCTTTGTGTGTGCGAAATCAGGCCATGGTTTACACCACAGTCAACATACAGGGAAGCCACAACAGTTGACTGCAATGACCTTCGTTTAACAAAAATCCCCAGCAATCTTTCCAGTGACACTCAAGTCCTTCTGTTACAAAGCAACAATATTGCAAAGACCACAGATGAACTCCAACTGCTATTTAATTTAACAGAGTTAGATTTTTCACAAAATAACTTCACAAGCATCAAAGACGTGGGGCTCTCAAATCTTACTCAGCTGACTACTTTGCACCTGGAGGAAAACCAGATCATGGAGATGACTGACTACTGCTTGCAAGACCTTTGCAATCTTCAGGAGTTATATATAAATCATAATCAGATCAGCAGCATTTCTGCAAATGCATTCTCTGGCCTGAAGAATCTTTTAAGATTACATCTCAACTCCAACAAATTGAAGGTTATTGACAGCCGTTGGTTTGATTCTACTCCTAACTTAGAGATTCTTATGATTGGAGAAAATCCGGTGATTGGAATACTAGATATGAACTTCAAACCTCTCTCCAATTTAAGGAGTCTTGTTTTGGCAGGTATGTATCTCACAGACATCCCTGGCAATGCCTTGGTAGGCTTGGACAGTCTTGAAAGTCTTTCCTTCTATGACAACAAGTTGGTAAAAGTTCCTCAGCTTGCACTTGAAAAAGTTCCGAATCTAAAATTCCTGGATCTCAACAAAAATCCAATTCATAAAATTCAAGAAGGTGATTTTAGAAACATGCTTAGATTGAAAGAGCTTGGAATCAATAACATGGGGGAGCTTGTTTCTATGGATAGGTACGCGCTGGACAACCTGCCTGAACTTACAAAGCTGGAAGCCACCAACAACCCAAAGCTGTCTTACATCCATCGTTTGGCCTTTCGTAACGTCCCTGCCCTGGAGAGTTTGATGCTGAACAACAACGCCTTGAACGCCGTCTACCAAAAAACAGTGGAGTCCCTCCCAAACCTGCGTGAGATCAGCATCCACAGCAACCCCCTGCGGTGCGACTGCGTCATTCACTGGATCAACTCAAACAAAACCAACATCCGCTTCATGGAACCTCTCTCCATGTTCTGCGCCATGCCTCCAGAGTACAGAGGACAACAGGTAAAAGAAGTGCTAACGCAGGATTCAAACGAGCAGTGTCTTCCAATGATCTCTCACGAGACCTTTCCAAATCACTTGAACTTGGACATTGGCATGACGGTGTTCTTAGACTGTAGGGCCATGGCAGAACCCGAGCCAGAAATTTACTGGGTCACTCCCCTCGGAAATAAAGTCACTGTTGAAAGCCTCTCTGACAAATACAAGCTGAGCAGCGAAGGCACCTTGGAAATCTCCAACATCCAGATTGAGGACTCTGGGAGGTACACCTGCGTTGCTCAGAACGTAGAGGGAGCTGACACCAGGGTCGCCACAATCCGGGTGAACGGAACGCTTCTGGATGGCACCCAGGTCCTGAAAATCTTTGTGAAGCAAGCTGAATCGCATTCCATTTTAGTTTCTTGGAAAGTTAACTCCAATGTCATGACTTCCAATTTAAAGTGGTCGTCGGCTACTATGAAGATTGACAACCCTCACATTACATACACCGCTCGGGTCCCAGTTGATGTACACGAATACAACCTCACGCATTTACAACCTTCTACAGATTATGAAGTGTGTCTCACTGTGTCCAACATCCACCAACAAACACAAAAGTCCTGTGTTAACGTTACAACAAAAAATGCAGCTTTTGCGCTTGATATTTCAGACCAGGAAACCAGCACTGCTCTGGCAGCGGTCATGGGATCCATGTTTGCTGTAATTAGCCTTGCCTCCATTTCTGTTTACATTGCAAAAAGATTTAAGAGAAAAAACTACCACCATTCGTTGAAAAAATATATGCAAAAGACCTCCTCAATCCCCCTGAATGAGCTCTATCCTCCACTTATTAATCTCTGGGAAGGCGACAGCGATAAGGACAAGGATGGTTCTGCAGAGACCAAGCCGACCCAAGTCGACACATCCAGAAGCTATTACATGTGGTAACTCAGAGGATATTTTGCTTCTGGTAGTAAGGAGCACAAAGACTTTTTTGCTTTATTCTGCAAAAATGAGAAGTTGAAGACTTTTGTATTTTTGACTTTGCTAGTTTGTGGCAGAGTGGTGAGGACAGGTGGATATTTCAGAATTTTTTAGTATAGCGTATCGCAATTGTTTGACACAAATGGCAGCTTCACCTAGCTTCCAGATTTCTTTTCTTTTTTTCTTTTTTTTCTTTTTTTAGTTATTGTGCTAAACTTAATGCTGTTCTAACTGCAGTGCTGAATAAAATTAATGAGAGGCTGGGGTTACCTGTGATTCAAAAGTAGCACAACCCCATTCTTCTGAAGCCATCAGTAGAGTACAGTATCTTGCAAAGCTAACATACAGTTTTGAAACTGCATTGAACTAGTTTTGTAATGCTGGTCTGAGGACTCAAACTGAGAAAAAGGAGACCCTGAAGGATGTTAGTTGACTGTACTGTAATGTTGTATCAACTGATTTGAATGTTTTTGACTTTGGACAATGAGTTATCTTTTTTCTTTTCGTAGTAGTTGAAAAGGCTTAGGTAAAGCTAACAGGCAATAGAAATGTGTACACCTGGGTTTTTAGTGTAACAGACTAAATGTTAATTGTTCTCTTCTTTTTATTCTCTTCAGTAGACACCTTTGAAAAACACTGGAGTTTTGTTGTGCTTAAGCCACCGCCCCTGGTGTTTAACAAAGGCAGAGCTATAATAACTTTAGTTTTGTTCTGATTTTTTTTATTTTAGAAGTCACAATAATGTACTGGTTTTAGATGTCACTAGTTTGACTGGTGATCATGTTTTGACATAAAATATACCCAAACTGTCATAGAAAAATATTGTGTTTTTTTTCTCCATGGGATTACATTTCAGCTAAGTTGCAGGGTTGGTTTTTTGTTGTTGTTTTTTTTAATGCATTTATTTTAATAGTGTTTTCTCTGCACTGGATGCAAAATACTGAAGATAATTGGAAAACTAGGTCTGGCATTTAGACTGTAAGTCACATGCAGAATCAAAACTGTTTGGCATAAGGTACACAGCAAAAAAAATAATTCAGCGAATAAAAACTTTTCCTTTTTGTATACTTTTCTGTTTATGTTCAGAGCTGAGACGGAAATGAAGCTGACATTTAGCTGTCATTATGATCAGTTAGGACAAAAACCAACTCAGTGCTCCCAAACTGAAAGAAAACAACCAAATCCTGGCATTACACGTTTGGAAAAAAATGTGCATGGGATTGATGTGCCCTCAACAGCAGAAAGTGAGACAGCTAAACCCAACCTAACAGTAACAAGTTCGGGTCCGATATGGAATTGTAGTTTCACCAGGCTTAAAGTCAACAAGGACTCTGAGCATTTCACTGGATTGGTCTGTTCAAGTGGAAGGCCTCAGCAAGCACTGGTGTGTGTGTGCGCACTGGGTACATCAACACATAAGGGACAGTTGAACCTACAGAAGCTTTGTACGTCGTCTTTTCTGAATCCACTGGAGTTCTCAGCAGGACTGCACACAGGCACAGCAGGGGGGTTCTGGTGGAGCCTGTGGTTGCAGTTACACCGGATCCCTAACGAGCAAGCACAGAGTTTTCTACGCGTTCCGACCACTTGTCGATGTGCAACCTTTTAAATGTTTTTACATGCCAAATGTTCTTAGTGAGTAAAAGTTAATTGTTACAACAATGGATGTGCCTGGATTTTGGGGTTGAAGTTTTGTTTTTGTTTGGTTGGGTTTTTTTTTTGTTAACTCACTAATTTATCTAAGCGAGAAGAAAAAAAAATCAGCACTCACCCAAAATTGCAGACAGACAGCTTCCAACTTCTCTCTTCCCTTCAGCCAACGGTCTGCAAGTGAAAAAGTCAGTGTAGTTTATAGGTGTGTTTTGGTGCAGAACCCTCAGTCTCTCAGATACATGCCTTGTCAATTTGCATTTCGATGCAAAGCTGAGTGAAGCTATTAATTATGCATTTAAATCAAGTACTTCTGCTACACACAATTTTTATACGTTCATGAGATCTCACGTTTTTAATCACATGATAGTTACATGTTGGGATTAGGCAAGTGGCCTTTGATCATGGAGAAGCAGCATGCTGCCAGCATTCACGTGTCACCTTCTCCCGTATTTTATGTTAATGCAAAATCTCCTCTTGCCTTCTCCTCCAGAAAAGCTTAAGAGCAATAATTACCACCTTGTGTATATGCTATCCTAACCTTAAAACTGCCTCTACCATTATAACAATGATAACGAATTAAAACTGAGATATCTTTTGCACTGAAGATTCACTGTACTTTTTCCAGAGAAAAGGACATAGGGAGGACAAGGTTGACAGCAAAATTACAGCTTCCAACTTGCACAACATCATAAAATTGTCTTGAGAAAGCAATTATTGAGCAGGTGTCAGATGCTGCAGAGCAGGCCCCTGCCTCCCCCACCTTCCTGCAGCACTCGTGCAGCTGTGCCACAAACACTCGGTCACAACAAGCTTTCACCTGAGCCTCCTGTCCGACGGGGTCGGTGTATGGGAAGGGAAGCAATGTCTGATGTGTTCCTTGCCGCTGGGGAAATTATGTGCCTGCTCTTCCCTGCAGACCTATTTGGCAGTTTTATGTCATTTGTTATCATTATAGTGCAATGCTGTTAAAGAACAGCGAGAGAAAATGGCCTTATGACAGTCATACACTTCTGGATGTGCTGATCTGTAGTATTTCAGGGCAGCTGATGTTGCTGGGGCTCTGGCAGAGAGATGCAGGTTCCCTGACAACAGCTCAACAGCCACAACACCCTGTGAGTGCCGCACATTCTGCACATACAGCCACCAGTGACATGTATTTTCAGCCTTGTAATCTGTGCCCTTAGAGCTCTGTACAGTTCTCCTGGAAATTTAAAATTCTGCTAATAAAAGGAAAAAAAAAAACCAACAGTGGGTAAGAGATTAATGACATGTGGCATATAATCTTAGCAAATAACCTTCAGCCTTGTCCTAGCAATTCTGTGCTTGCAGTTTGTTGTAAGCAAAAAATAAAAATATTCTCTTTGCCTAATTGCCTTCAAAATATATTTGCATCTACCATTCACTGGAGACAAAAACACCCCCGGTTTGCTCAGAACCAGAGATGGAGCCTGGCTGCTATAAAGCAGCATGGGAAGAACCACGGTTGTCTTTCACTTGGCTAGCTGTTCAGAAATGCTGTGTAAGAGTAGATATCTCATACCCAACTAAACGTCTGCAGTGTTACTTCCACCTGATTTCCCAATAATAAACTATCCTTGCGCCCTGAAGAGCAAGTCACTTATTCAAGAGTGGTATTCAGTACTCCAGCTACATCCACTTTGCACTTCCTCACCCAAACTGTAACATCTTCTTGCATCAAGAAGGGATCTTCTCACCCGTGGACCCACGCTCACGCTGGACATGAACTTGGATTACAGCACACAGGCGTCACAGCCGTGTATTCCTGCTGCAGGATCTGCCTTCTCAGCACACTGCACTGACATCCCAGCACCCAAGGCAAGGTGGACGTGCTAGGCCTGCAATTCTTCATGACAACCCTGAGTGCCTCCATGGGAGAAAGCAAATGTTGCATGCAGCCCGAGTTTAAATACCACTGTTGCATCCCATGGGAGAGTCCTGCTACCAGATAACATCTTTTACCTCTGTTTCCAACTACAGAGATATTTACACTGGGGAACCTCCATCCACCCATCCCCAGCGCATCCCTGCAGCACCTGCCTGCCTCCTCCTGCCCTCTGCCACTCAGGCAAACCCTGTAGAGCCCTGCGAATCTCAGGATCTCATGAGAGTCACCAAAGGACTTGGAATTTGTGTTTAACTTTGCAGATCCCTGCTTTCTCTACCAACGCTTCTCCCCTCACCTCCTTCTTAGCCTGGTTTCCTTTCAGCTGTTTCCCTTTGAGGACCACAGCAGCAGCTGGCTGGCAGCAGGATGCAGCTTGTGGCTCAACTTGTATCATGCAACATTTCAGTGCTGCCCCTCTGCCTCCACATTACTGCAAATGAAGACAACTTTCCCCTTAGCAAAAAAGCTCTGTCTTCCCATGTCTCTGTTCCACATCTTTTTCCTTATTATGAGATCTCCTCTGTTACTTTTTCTACTGGTATAAAAGCAACGACAGACTTATTTTTCTTTCCAGTAAAGGTGACTTACCATAAAAATTTGTACTACTGTATATTTATGTCACGTAGACCAAAGGAATGCTGAATCATAACAGGTTTTGAAGTACAAGAAATAAACACAATGGAAAAGACAGCTGATCATTAAGTAGAATTTTCATAAGGAACTGAATGAGTTACAAGCTTACATCTCATTAACTTCAGTGATGCCTCAGCTCTGGAAAAGGTAAAGCAGATCCTAATGGAGAGCTTCAGGAAGTGTTAACTTGTCTGAAATCCTGGACAGCTCTGAGACATTTTCTGTGGAATTCTGTAACATGGATTTTTACAAACATCATCTGAAACCATAATCCTCATTTCAGTTGAGGGAATGGTGAGAATGGGATTTAAATCCTACCACCTTCAGTGAGTATTACTGATTTTCAGAAGTCTAAACAAGGTCTGCATCTTTGGCAGCTGCAGTGCCAGATTTCTGCTCACAACCACACACCTGGAGGAAAAATTCCCAGCAGATTTTTTAACAGCAGCTTTTCCGCCTGCAGCCTTTTCTGCTGGCCTTCATTCCAAGCAAGAAGTAATACATAAGAAAAGATCAGGGCAGAGAAAGAAGAAGAGCAATAACTGAACTGTCAACCACGCCCAGAGCCAAAGAAGGTTCTTGGATGTGGAAAGCCACAAAGTCCACACAGCACGTTTACGGGCCGTGCAGAACCCAACGGTGCAGGTCAACTCATTGCTCTGCAACACAAATACAAGCTCATAACTGGTATTCCTGGTTTCAGCTATTAAATTATGCTTTCATACTTGCAATCCCATTTGAAGAGGTCTCAATAATGGTAATAACAAAAGGCTTTGTAGGAAAGGGTATGAATAAATTTAGGCCTGGCAGTATAATCTCAGTGGCTTTGCTTGTATCATCAGCTCTGCAAACTTCTGCCAGCTGTTGTGGGAAGCTGAGCCGAGCACGGGCTGCAGCCCAAGCACCAACTGCTCCAGGAGGGGCTCCCAGCACCAGCAGGGCACCTCCTGCACAGCACTGAGCCCCAGGGGTGTCCCTCTGCTGTGTGCACAGCTGCACAACGGCCAACACAGCAACTTCCCAACACTGACCTGAGCATCTCGGGGAACACTGATGAAGGTGCAGATGTTTAAATGCGTTGCTAAATAGCACTGCCAATGATCGTCTTCGATTGCAAGAGCTATCTAAGGCTATTTGCAAGTCTCTAAATGGCAAACTAAAATTGGTTTTGTGGAAAATGATGTCGTTAGCAGTTACTGTACTGCTCCCTATTCTCCCATAGCACGAAGTTCTGCTGTCACACATCGCATGGGAGCAATGATGCAGGAGTGGCTTCTGTGCCTTCAAAGTTCTTCCATATCAAGACTGCCACTGAGAGGGCCCAGGAACATTCAAGGTCATTGACCACAATGAGCTTTTCCTAAACTAAGTCTCCAGGAAAAGACCAGGAGATCTCCAGTTGTATTTTAAAGAGATTTGGACACTAAATTTCCTTGGGAACAATCTGGAAATCCCATCTCAAAAGAGCTTGTAGTTAGTGTGCGTTCTCCAGTGATACACTCTCGTCCATCTAACCACATGAATTCAACTTCCATGAGGTCTCAGATCCCTATCCTCGAGTCTTAGCATGGTTTGGGTTGGAAGGGACCTCAAAGATCATGTAATTCCAACCTCTCTCCTCCTGAAGTCAGTATGAACCACATCCCTTGCTTCTGCAGGCAACGGCTCACTTCAGGAAAGCGACGGGAGTGTCTTGACAGACAGACACCAGGGAAAAACAACAGTTTAATGCAAACATATTACAAACCATGTACAAGTGCATGTTATTTCTTTCCTGTCCCTTCCTGCTCTCTCCTGCTTCTTTCTCACACTTTCAAAATCTTAACACCACTATATTTATTCTCTTTTCCATGGGTGAACCAGCAATAGGTTCGTGCTTTGTTAGCAAGTATAGCAAAAATCTAGGCGAAAATATCCTCCATACCTTATCATGCCAGCCGTCCTTCTTGTTAATGTAAAAATCATACTCCCAAAGAACAAAGAAATTCTATAAAATCATTCTAAATAAAGTCTCAGACAAAGGCTGTATGAACAAAATTTTTTGGTATCACTCTCTAATTCTGCTCATTGCCCCATTTCCTTTGTCAGATGAAAATACGCTTGGACAGCAGGACAGATCAAGCACACCGACCACTGTTCCCTACAGAAGACAGCACACCGTTCTGCTCCCGTGTAAGCTGAGCACTGTCCAAGTCAGGCTGAAGGCACAGCCTCGTCCTGCCTGTCACTGCTGCAGCACAGCCTTGTCTCTATTACAGATGCTCAGTAAGACAAATACTGCAGTTATCCTGGCATAAAGAACGTAACCTTGTGTCAATAAAGGCAAAGAACCTTTTTCTCTTCTGACACATTGTAAACAGAGCATCTTCTAAAATCTTTCACCCAGCTCTGCACTTACACTTAGCAGTAAGCAAACAGAAGCCTAATAGCATGTGTCAAATGATCACCTGACAAAAGGCATGCTTTGAATGAAAATCTTACCTACAGTAGATAATCTAAGCTATTTAATAACTCAAATCATATGCAAAACAAAACTTAGTAACTCGTTCCAATCAATATACATGAAGTCTGCATAGGAACTATGAATGTTCTTTGACAAAAGCCACTAAACAGATGGTATTAAAGAGTTAAT